AGACTCTATTGTGAGAATATGGCAGACTCTTAAGTAAAGTAAAGTGACTTTTCATTTGTGGAAAGCTGCCTGGACTACTTAAATGGAACTGATTAATAATCCTGAAATATAAAGAACTATGATTACTGAACTTTCTGAGGAGCAATATTGGACTTGAATATATTGTTTTTGGACTATTAAGTAAGAGCAGGACTTACTAAAATAAGACAAGATGCTCCACCAGGGAGAAATGAGTAAGATTTCAAAAGAAATGCTGTTGATGTTTCAAAGCATTAGGGATACAATCACAAGAATCACAGAGAGATAAAAGAATCTATTGCAAGGCATAAATGGGAAGATAGAAAATATCCTACAACTGATAATGAAGATAAAAGAGTCCAGGAAAGAGAGGAGACAGCAGAAAGAATAGAGGAAAAGATAGAACAGACAAACCAGCAAATAAAGCAAGAAGATGACAAGGAGAAAACAATGAAGATAATAATGACTGATGAAATAAACCAAGGGGAAAGTACCTTAAGAGATTTAAAAATGGAATCAGATAACCTGGAAGATACTTTTGAAAGGGAGATAGGGGCGTGGGTGGACACTCTGGAGACCTGGCAGCTTAGGAGGATAGAGATGGGAGAAATATTCAGACTGAATGGTGAAGACACAGATGCTGATAGAGACAAAGATCCAAGAGAGGAGTATGTGAGGCAAGCTAAAAAACAAATAAGAATTGAAGTATTAAAACGGCAAGAGATGATGGATAGAAAGGATTTTTTTTTCTAATATAATGATGGCCTGATTAAAAACTAGAATAGAAGTAGAAATAAGAATACACACCTTTATATAAAGCAATAGTTAGATGGAAAGATTGGAGGTTGAAAGATGGTACTATTAGATATGTTTAAATAATAGGATGATTGGTACTAGAATGGAGTACTGAGACTTTGAATAACCAAACAATGAAGGACTATGCCTTAATATAATATCTATTAACACTAGGATTAGTAAAGATGGCCTGACTAGAAGCTAGAATGAAGGAAGAAATAAGAAATATTAGCAGATATAATTTTTATATAATAGAACATAAGTAATAACTAGATGGAAAGATTAGAGGTTGAAAGATGGTATTACTATGAACACTTAATAATATCATTGGCATTAAAATGGAACATTGAAATATTGAATAACTACTCTAAAACAAACATGTATATTAATACTAGGATTATATAAGTTTGATTAATGTAACAAATATTATTATTATTATTATTATTATTATTATTATTATTGCTATTTGTATCAAAATGAATTATACCCAGAGGCCACACTGTTCCTGTATTGATTTTGATGTACCATGTTTCCCCGAAACAGAGTTCCTCACTGTTGTGTCCAGAGAAACATGCTGTAAAAGAAAAACCTTCTTGCGAGTTCAATCAAACTTCTTGAACTCGCGAGAAGGTTTTCTTTTACAGCGTGTTTCACTGGACACAACAGTGAGGAAAGCGACAGAGCTTGAAAGGAAAGACCTGCGTCCTGCTTCTTGCCTGCCCCACCTGCCACCCCCAAATTGCATCCCTAAAGGGGGTGGGTGGCTAAGCAAGGGGCAGGAGCCCTGCCATGCCTGGCGAGGGGGGGGGGAGAAGAGACAGCAAGGGGAGCCACATCTTGCTCCACGCGTCTTGCTTCTTCCCCGCCCCACTTGCCACCCCTCTCGATAAAGAGATGGTGGGGAAGGGAAGCAGCGAGGCTGCTGTTGCCATTGGGATGGGGTGGGATGTGTTGAGCCACTCAGCCGGTGCAAAGAACAGGGAGGGGAGGGCATGTCCACCCTCCTCTGGCCTCGCCTCCTCAACTCATTTTGGTTGCGCGGCAAGCAACCAGAGGAAATGGCGGGACCGGCTGCGCATGCATGTAAGTAGTTGGTGGGGGGCTTATTTTGTGGGGGTGGCTTATATAATCACATGCGCTGAAAAGCCCGATTGGGCTTATTATCCGGACATGTCTTATTTTCGGGAAAACATGGTATATTTAAAAACAAAAATCCAATAAAACTTTTGTAAAAAATATTGAGACTGGAAGGACATGGAGCAAGTAAACTGGAGGAAGCTGGAACACCTTATCATCAGATCAAGAAGGTCTATCAGCTGCTGGGCAAAAGCCTTCAGGCACCCGTAATGCATACAGTTACATTATTTTCTTCAAGACCGAATAATTATTCAAGCAAAACAACACTGCCTTCAGAATGTGGATTTCTGGGAGAATGGCCAAACTGGATGTCTGGTTAACAAAGCTATTCTGTTATATAATAGAAATGTAAAGCTTTATGTAAACTGAAAGATGATTAACAGAGACTTCATGAAAAGAGCAGGGTGGGGTAAACTGAAGAGAAAAATGGATTTGATCAGTGTAAACATTATTAGAGACTCAGCTTGTAAATCAGGTATTAACATCTGAAAATATGTAATAAGTGTTAACCCATGGGAGATTGCTGCCTGGGACAAAAAAAAGTTTATAATCAAGTTATTTTGGGACATGGAGTTGAAAGAGCTGACAAGCAGATATCAGAGAAAGTTGCCTCACTCTATCTAATGTTAGAACTTCTCTATTATTTTTCTGTTAAAGTGCAAATTTCAAAAACTCACTTTAAGCTGACTTTCACATTAACCAATAAGTTTACAAATAAATAAATGATATATATTGTGGCTGCAATAATCCACTTTGTTGTTGTTGTTGTTACTTGTGAAGTCATGTCTGACCTATCGCAACCCCATGGACAATGTTCCTCCAGGCCTTCCTGTCCTCTACCATCCTCTGGAGTCCATTTAAGCTCACACCTACTGCTTCAGTGACTCCATCCAGCCATCTTGTTCTCTGTCGTCCCCGTCTTCTTTTGCTCTCAATCTTTCCCAGCATTAGGCTCTTCTCCAGTGAGTCCTTCCTTCTCATTAGGTGGCCAAAGTATTTGAGTTTCATCTTCAGGATCTGATCCACTTAGCCCCTTCCAAAATAAATCAACCATATCCTTCCTAATCCCTTTTTTGAAGTATAGGCACATTTCTGGATTCAGAAGCTAAGAAAGCTTGGGCCTGGTTAATATTTATTTAGATAGGAGACATATAGAGCCGTGATGGCGAACCTATGGCACGGGTGCCACAGGTGGCACGTGGAGCCATATTGGTGGGCACGCGAGCTCAGCTCCGGCATGCATGCGTGCGCCGGCCAGTTGATTTTCAGGCCTTCTGGGCCCACCAGAAGTCAGGAAACACACTGTTTCTGGCCTCCAGAGGGCCTCTGAGGGGGTGGGGAAGGCCGTTTTTGAACTCCCCAGACTCCTAGAAAGGCTCTGGAGCCTGGGGAGAGTGAAAAATGGGCCTACCGGGCCTACCGTGTCATTACGTGCCAAAAGCAGGGGGAGCATAGGGGAGGCGCGTAAAATTATGGATGTGGACACATATGTGTGTGACCCCCAACTGAATCTTCCCCGCTTTTGGCACGCAATAGCAAAAAGGTTAGCCATCACTGATATAGAGGATACTAGTAAGCTCCATTATTTTCTTCTTGTTTTATTCCATCCCTGCCTGTCCTTTTTTAAAAAATTGTAAATTAAATTGTAAATTTTCAGTTGCTTGGATTCCCCCCTCCCCACCCCTGTAGCTCTAGATGAATAGCACTGTTAATCCAAAACAGAACCAATGTCTCCCTGTCCCATATAAATCACCTGGAGTGGATCGACTTTTACAAGAGATGTTTTATCAAAAGGTTGTCATGACAAGACAGTTAAGTTTGCATTGCACTTCTCTCTGGGGTTCTCTTCAAACTCTTTAAGAATATATTTGATATCTCAGTTCCAATCCTTGTAAACACCTTCAGAGGAAATTTAATATCCATCTCTATATAGTGTCTTTATGTATCATTGTCATAGATATCATTAAACTGAATTTCTGCTTCATTGTGATCTTGTGTCAAATACTTGTTTTTCAGCTTCACTCATCTCAAGTGATTATTGGGTCAACAAAATTATAAAGAAATGAGGGAGGTTCTTGAAGTTTGTGAAGGAAAGGTGCACAATATTATATAGTTTAATGAAATAGATGGAAATATTTAAAAAACCCATGCTCATCACTAGGCTAGAAAGAACATTTATTTCCTGAGTGCCTGGTTTTGTAGAATAGTAGATAAAGGGTACTCAAAGAATAATTTAACAATCAGAAGTCTGGGAGTATTTTAAAAACCAACACATGCGCAGCGGCACAAGGTTTCATGAATCTCAATGTAAGCGAGCAAGAATGTGTGAATCCCCAAAATAATTTTGTGAGTGGTTGCAATTTCTAAGTTAGCTAGTACCACGCTCTGTACTTCCTACATTTCATTTCCCCATCGGCCCACTATTTCCTCCTCTCCCCCCCACCCCCCACCCCCACCCCCAAAGACAGATGTCATCCTGTCCAGGAAAGCAGAGACCTTAATAAACGTGTTAGTTCTTAAGAGGCCACAAAACATGGATGATTTCACTGCAACATACCCCAGTTGGACCCCGGCAGGAGGCCGCCCGAACACTATTCGGTGCTCCTACGTGGTAAAGGAACGCGTAACTGGGGGGGGGGGGGGCACGGATTGTGTGGAAGGTGTGGCTATTTTCTCAGGTGTGTGATGATCCTCGGGGAGACCGTAGATTCTGCCTGAAGAGTGATCTGACCAAGAACTGGCCGCCTATAAAACTGGCGACTTCCTTTGTAAAAAAAACAAAGCAAAAAACGATGCAGTCCTCGTTCGCCCTGATCGCCTGACAGGGGAGGCTGGGATCAGTTCTCGCTCTTTCGCTTCATAAAAGAGACCGGAGGCGATCTTTCTCCGCCGTCCCCACTACCCCAACCCACCCCAAACCCCCCCCCCCCGGGAACACCCCGCGCGGCTCCCCCGGAGTGGCAAAAGCAGGGAAAGAGGGGGGGGTCCCCGCAGGTCTCACGCCCCCCCCCCTCCCCGCCCCCCCCCCTCCTCAGTTGCCAGATCCTTACCAGTTGCCGGATCCGATGATGCAGACCTTCAAAGGAGGCATGGTGTCGGCGGTGTCTGACGGTCCGTGGTTGGGATCTCTCGGCTGCCACCGGCTCACTCAGCGTCGAGTCGTGCGCTCCTCCGCTTGGAGCGCCTTGACGGTGGCTTTGACACCCGCCCACCTGGAAGCCGCGCCCGCCGCCTCGTCCCGTAGATCCAGCCCGCAGGGGAGGGAAAGGCCGCCCTGCGGACCAACGAGAGAAGAGCGGGATCAGAGGAGACCGAGGCCCGAGAGAAAGGCGGGCTCGGTCTCCGCTGGTTGCCCGCGGTTGGAGCCAAGCGTCCCCAAGGGTGGGATCCTGGAGGGGGAAGAGGAGCAGCCGAGTGGAAAGGAGCAAGAGCATAACGGGAAGAGTGGTGTGTGTGTGTGTGTGTGTTTGTATACAAATATCAAACACGAAAGGGCTGTTTGTGTCGCCTTTTGAGTTTTGTGCCTGCTGGGGAGAGGTGGCAAGGAGGTAATAACCATATGTGGCCAAGTTATGGCCAGGAGTCCAAGGGGTCTCTTCCCGTTAGGGAATGTGGGGGTGTGTGTGTGGGGGGGGGAGGACTCTCATTGTATTAAGAGAGCGGCAGAAGAGGTTTTTGGCTTAGTTAAGGCGCCGCTAGGTAGAATGGGCACAAACACATACTCGGACACACGCAGACCCTGCCAAGAGCAACAGCACACCCTCGTCTTGGGGGTCGAGTGCCAGCTGTGCTGCCCCCTGCTTTGAGTAACGGAGCAGCCAATGGTTGCACACGTTCCAACTTTCTCCAGTGCCGTGGCTGCGAAAGGTGCGAGAAACAGATGTGTGTGTGTGCTTGAAATTATTCGCGCCTTTCGTGGTTTACTTTTATTAGCTATCGATTCCACGAAGGTTGGACTTTGCTGCCAGGAGTCCCTGGGTCTAACTTGGGATGGTGCAATTCTTTACATTCGGAGAACTGGAGTGGAGTTCACTTTTATCGAGGCAATCCTTCTGCTGCGGAAGAATGAAGGTTTAAGCATGTTTTTTTTTTTAAATTGCAATTTGTATATTTCAATCGCAAATGTCTGTTCCAAAGGATATTGACTATTCTCCAGAAATACCAGATACTTTGTATGTTAGATTTATATCCAGCCTTTTCCCCCAAGAGTTCAAAATGAAATCTTCAAGTTATATAAGTACAACAAACCTCTGAGGAAGATTAGGTTAAGAGGAAATTGTCTCAAAGACACCAAATAGGTTTCCAAGCCTGAGGGATTGATTTCCACCAGTCCAGGGGTGAAATCCAACAGGTTCTGGAGAACCGGAAGCGGAAATTTTGAGTAGTTTGGAGAACCAGCAAATGTCACCTCTGGCTGGCCCCAGAGTGGGGTGGGAATGGGGATTTTGCAATATCCTTCCCCTGCCATGCCCACCAAGCCACGCCCACCAAGCCACGCCCACAGAACCAGTAGTAAAAAAAATTGGATTTCACCACTGCCCCAGTCCTAGTTCAACATCTCAACAATCACACTATACTGAATCATTGCACAGCAAAATTATGTTGAATAATTAAAACTTCTATTGGACAGCATTTCAAACCAGTCTTCTTAAGGGAAAGTCTTTTGCAGATACTGATTTCAGCTTAAATATTCTTGAAACTAGATGGAAGTATTAGATTGAAAGATAAAGAACATACCACTTCTGAAAACCAAAAGGCAATGCACATGTAATCTCAATTATGTGTGCTAATCATTTGAATCTTCAAAGAGTGTACATCTCTGTACACTGAACTTTGGTTCCTCGATCAGTTAAGATTGCCTCTGTGTAGGAGGGCTGTGATGGGATGAGAAATAAATTTGCGCAAGAATGATAAAATTAATCTCCTGGGTTCAGGGGCCACTGCAGTTCAAACAGAATGATTCATTCCAAAGTAATTTTTAAAAAATGAGTATTTTCTATTTAGGTGAAACATTATACCGTAGGTTTCATTTTTTGAAACTTTTGTCTATATAACAATTCTTAGTTAAAGCAATTCAACTTATTGTCCTATAGCAATTACATCCTACTTTCATACTCTGGGCATAAAGAAAAGGCAGGGGTATGTCTCATACGTCCTGTTTGTGGACTTCCCATGCTCACATATGGAAAAAGAAGAGAATCAACACAGATCCTTTCATCTAAAACAGCAAAACAGCTCTTACATTCTGAAGCTCTGAAATTTGTAAATCAACAAAGCAGTTTGTAATTATATCTTTAAATCTGTGAACATTAGAAGACACCAGTGGGATTTTTTTTCTTTTTCCTGGTATTTTCCTGCAAATGCAGAGCCAACAACTTAGTGTTGATCCACTGGTTGCAACAGGAATTGATTGACTGTAGTGTCTCCAGATTCTGATGTAGGCTGAGAGTGTGTGATTGGCCCAAAGTCACCCACCCTGCTTTCATGCCTAAGGTGGGACTAGAATTCAGTTTTGTGGTTTTTACCCTGTGCCTTAAAAACCACTGAATTATCTCTCTAACACTGGAAGACCCCAGTATCAGCCTATGTTAAGGCTGATCAGTATCAACAAAGTCATTTTCTGCTGAAGCTACAACACGTTGCCTACAGCTTCTCCTCCCCCAGTCTAGATTCTAATTTCCAACCAACACAATGGAAGTATGGTTGATTAGGGAAGATGAACTAAGGATTGGGACTCAAACAACCTTCTACTACTTGGCATGGCCATGTCTGCATGCCTGGAAAACCGATCCAGACTATCTGAAAGCAAAACTCTGCTTGTAGAGGATTTTACTAGAGGAAGGATGAGAGAGATTTCTTTTTCTCTTTCCCTATCTTTTAGATTCCTGGTCCTGGGGATTTGTTTTCTACTCTGACATTTTCAGAGAAGCATTTATCTGCACCATTCGATGGCATTTTTATGTCTCTGTTTTTTTATTCTATTATAAAGGAAGGCAGGTTGGCTGGATGAGTCATAGGGTGCTGTTGTAACACCAACAGTTAATTAGCTTGCGGGGGCACAAAAGCTACCCTTTCTTTAATCCCACTTATTAGGACAGGCTAGCTGCGATAAAGAACCTGTAAAAGGCATTGAGAAACAGGGCAAAGGACAGAAAACATTGGAAGAGAATTCACCAATTAGCTTGAATGCCAGCCACACTGACATCATTTTTCTGTTTGGTATCATTTCATTCAAACACATTTGTTTGGTTTTAAAAAAAAATATTTGAAATTTCTTTATAAACTTGATCTGACATGGGAAAGGAAATGCCCTTACTGAGTGATCTAGAACCAGTTTGGTCTAGTGCAGGGGTTGGCAACCTTAAACACTCAAAGAGCCACAAAGGTCCTAATCAGAAGCCCCTCATTCAATTCTGGAGCTGACCGGAAGTCCGGTTCCCCCACCATAGAGTCTCCTAGCGCTGCATCTTTTTTCCTCTGCCAACCAGAAGTCTGGTTCCCCCACCATAGTCTCCTCCTAGTGCAGCGTCCTTTTTCCTCTACCTGTCCTAACCAAAAGCCCTATCAATTGTGGAGTTGACCAGTGACAGGGAGCCGCAGAAGAGGGATGAAAGAGCCACATGTGGCTCCAGAGCCATGGGTTGCTGACCCCTGGTCTAGTGGTTAAGGCCCCTGGGTAGAAAGGGAGAGACCATGAGTTCACGTCCTGTCTTACCCATGAAAACTAGCTGGGTGATTTTGGGCCAGTCAGTCACTCTCAGACCAGCCTACCTCACAGAGTTGTTGTTGTGAGGAAAATAGGAGGAGAAAGGTGCATTGAGTATGTTTGCCATCTTGAGTTATTTGTAAAAAGAATAAAGGTGGGATACAAATTGAATAAATAACATTGCGTTATGTTGGGGTGCTTGTCTTGTCTTCACAGAATCTCCAATTATTAAGCTTGGCTGACCTCTTTAGTATCTAAGTCCCAACTGGGGCATCCAGATGCTCTCACCTGCCAAATTCATGTCTTTCTATATCAGATTAAAGTTGCCAGTTAAAGAATCCAAACTCTGTTTCCAACAGTGGCTAGAATTTTACATTCCAGAAGTGGTTACAATATAAAATATGTCACAATCTATCCCCTTGACATCCTAGCCAAACTCTTTCATTCAACTATTCTATTCATATTATATACTTACACTCAGGATTATAGTTCTTTTCTAGAGCCTTTAATATCAAAATTCTTTAATATTGCTTACTTAGCCCTTGAGTAACAGGAATAAACATCAAACTTTAGACACTTTTCCCCCACCTCTTTCAAACATTGCTTTAGATCAGGGGTCTCCAAATCTGGCAACTTTAAGACGTGTGGACTTCAACTCGCAGAATTCCCCACCTGGCCAATCTTAAAGCTGCCAAGTTTGGAGACTTTATTTTAGATAAATGGAAATTATAATCCACATTAATGGCTGCAAATATGAAAACCAGAGTGTGGTGTAGTTAATCCATGTTAATAAACCTGAAACAAGCAGTTTAACTTTTATGTTTGTCTGGTGCCCATATTTCAATAATACACCTGCAAATTAATGAGGTGTTGGGATAGGATTATGTATCTCTATACACAATAATTTGCTAAACCAAAAATGGAATTAAATAATATGCCAAATTATAGAATGTACTTTACATACAATAATGGCTGGATAATAAACCAGAACGAAACAAGTGAAACTGATGAAACATCTGGCAATTTGTCAGGCTGAGGTGCCCTCTGGGCATATGTGAAAAAGGCAAGATGGTCCAAACTGTTTGTTATGTCCCTTTTACCCTTTTATCATATTCATTTTTTAAATTTTGTATTACATTTATATTCTACCTTTATTTTCTGCAGATCAAAGCAACCTATGCACCTAATAGAGCCGTGGTTAAAATGCAGTATTACAGGCTAATTCTGCCGACTGCCAATAGTTCGATTCTGATCGGCTGAAGGTTGATTTAGCCCTCCATCCTTCCAAGGTCAGTAAAATGAGGGCCCAGATTGTCAGGGGCAATAGGCCGATTCTGTAAACCACTTAAGAGAGGGCTGTAAAGCATCATAAGGCAATATGTAAATCTAAGTGCTATTGTGAATTGCTATTATTATGCTACCTCCTATTTTTCCCATAATAATCCTATAAGGTGGGTTGGACTGAGAAAGAGTGACTGGCCCAAAGCAGGGGTGGTATTCACTTACAGTACATTCGCTACCGGTTTGTAAATGTGAGCACACGCAGAGCGTCAAAAATGGGACATGAT